CAGAACAATTTCATGATGGCTAGCTGAGATGATCTAGTTTTATAGACTACTTGAACAAGGACTTGAGATAAGCCCTGAACTTTGGCATTATGCAGAGACTGGACAAAAAAATAATATAACTACCTTTCCTAGAACCTGACAATTAATCCAAAATTTTTCTTTTCAGAATCCCCTAAAGACGCCTTTGCCCACAACCAGCAGTAAGCAATTTTAAGGACATGACTCACACATTCCCAAAGAGGTGGTGTGGGGCAGGTGGTTTTTGGTCTTTCAATGGTCTTGGGTTTGGGATAATTTTCATTGTTTAGGAGGGTTGGTTACAAGTTGTTGTTGTTAATGGTTAGGAAAAGGGCTAAGTAAAGGAGATTGGATTTAAGGTTCTTGTTTAACTATTTAATACGTATTTATTTAATCATCTCACTTCCAAGGAAAAGTGAGGTAAGAAGAATCTAAGAGGGTCCAGCATACTAGTGAGCTGTGATCCTTCAGGCAGCTTAATGACATAAGACCACACTGACCTGAATTTCTACACATCATTGATTAATTGAAAAATTTCTTATAAAATCATTCCTGTTGTGAAAGATGAGTCAGTGTTCTATGCTACTGGGCCTCCTTTAGCCCTGTAGTCTACTATGAAGTCACCACAATTTAATGTGTATAAAGTGCTTGAGGCGATTATTAGAGAAAATAATCAATTAATGATTATTGGAAACCTCCAGTACATAGATATTTGGATTATGTAGACACTGGGAAATCTGTCCACATGAGAAGACTGGGAACATCTACTGTAAAATACCCCAAACTTACCCTATACTCTTAACTATAAAAAGCACTTACTAAATGTAGTTATCTTTTTCAAATATTTATTTTTCAAATACTGAAAGGGAAATTTTCATTGCTTTTTAAGACATTGCATAGCTAAGGAATCACAGAGAACTCAGAATAATACATATAAATAAATTGCAAAATAATTTATGTTATTCCTTGAGATCAAACTGAGTGACATGTTAGGGGCTCAAAATGAAATTTTAATTACCTAATTGAAAGGCACAATAACATCCCATTATAAACACAAGTGAAAATTATCAGCCTGTATCAGGATTTTTCAAGTTAAAAAAACAGCAACAATACAAAAAGATCACCAGAAGGCCCCGCCACAGGGAAAGAGATAATCCGTGTAACATCAACATCCAGTTTAGACTTTAATTGCCTTGTACTTTCAGCTCCATGGGCAAGTCTGATAAGAGAGGGAAGGATCATGTGGCTTTATGCTCGATGGGACTTCATCTTTTAAACATTGTTTTATGATACTTCTTCTTCTAGTTTAGGGTGGGAGAAGAATAAAATACCCAGTGGAGTTCAAAGTGGCACATAAAAACAATACCTTGGTTCAAATAAGAAATTTCCAGTTAACAATCTGATCATTTTTGTTTCCTGAGGTGACAAGATAAAACCAGCATCCAAATTTTATTCTGCCTCTTTAAGAGCATTTTGGAATTGAAATAAATTGGGAGTTACTTTTTATTCATGAGTATTGAAAGAAAGCTAATAAATTCACCCTTATCTTCCAAAAGCAGACAGGAGAGCATGGTTCTAAAATACTAACTTTCCATTTTTACATTTATCACACATTAAATAATTATGGTTCGGGACATAATTCATTTCAATACTTAAACCTCTTTAGAGCCCTATAATGCTTTGAGCTTGCTTTGAAGTCAAGAAAGCTCAGGATATAGTTAAGTTGCCTAAAAAGTACTATGCAGGTGTCAAATCAGAATAAAACCACAGAAAGAGGAGAAGAAATAATAGGGAACAGTAATTGTGTTTTGAAAGGTTACCAGACTGTCATGTTTAGACAGCTCGTGTGCAGCTGGGTTTGTATTTGTGCTGTTCAGTGACATGAGAGATCATGGGACATTCCCAGTGGCTCTGCTACATTTCTATTCTTTTTCTTATTTTAGGACTTTGATTTTTGTCTTTAAAAAAATACACAAGATGCCTAATTCAGGGCAAACTGCTTCACCCCTTTGTGTCTTCTTTTGAAATAGCTGCAATTTATAGCTGCTACAGATAGGTCAGTTTGTCTTATATGCGATATCCAGGAAATTCTCCTCATGTTTTGGAACTTGAGGTTTTAAACCATCACTGTTCACCTAAGAGTGAACATGGGAGTTAACCCCACCTATTTCTGGAGCTAAGAATGTCTTTGAATGTTCCTGCTCTTCTCTCCACTCTCTTTAACCCTTCCCTTGGGTATGCCAGTCCTGCAACCCTTGAAAGTCACTCTTGACCCTGAAAAAGATCGACAACATGTCTTTCTTAGTAAAATGGAGATTCATGTACTTCTTAGCACAATGCCAAAAAATGGGTTAGATTTTTTCTAATAAAATCAGAAAAAATACAATTTCAAAAGGAAAAATGTCTGGAAATACATAAGATAAGTTCAATGGCAGTTGTTGGAAATATGTCACAACTGGAATGAATGTTGGTAATTTTGCTTATTCTTCTGTCACTGGCTCGAACATTCCACACCAGTGTTTTGTATAAATTAGGCAGCATAATACTTTATTTACCTATTGTCACATTAAACTTCAAAGTGGGTCACATAATATTAATATGACAGATATTAGACATACAGTAGACTTGAAGATACACTAACATCTAGGCTGAAAGATTCACCTTGTGTTCTCTATATTCTCCTGTAGGTGAGACTGGAGAGAATGGCAGTATTCAATTTACCCAGCCTACTATTTATTTATTTATCTATTTCTACATATATTTATTCATTTATGTTGGTGAGACATTTTGACTAATTAAAAATGCATAACAAACTTCCTCTAAATGTTATTCATTACATTTTCCCTGAAATCAATTGTTCCTCTGTAGTTTACAATCGATTTTAAATTGCAGTTTTACCTCATTTTTCTAGGAATTATGACATTACTTTTGCTTTCTGTAAATGAAGAATACCTCTCTGACTTTTACACAATTTTTAGTACTGTTTTGCCATCAAGTAAATTTCCATCTTTTGATTCTTCCATAAAGTTGCCATCTGTACTGGCTAGTTTTATGACACCTTGACACAAGCTAGAGTTGTTTTGGAAGAGAGAACATCAGTTGACAAAATATTGCTACCAGATTGGCCTGTGGGCAAGTCTGAGTCTATGGGACATTTTCTAAATTAGTGGTTGATGTGGGAGAGCCCAACCCATTGTGGCTGATGCCACCTATGGGTAGGTTGTCCTAGGGGTATATAAGAAAACAAACTGAACAAGCCATGAGAAGCAAGCCAGTAAGCAGCACTTACCCATGGCCTCTGCATCTGTTTTCTGCCTCCAGGTTCCTGCCCTGCTTTGAGTTCCTGACCCAGCTTCACTCTGTGATGGAATGTTACCTTGAAGTACAAGATAAAATAAAACCCTTCATGTCCACATGGCTCTTGGTTGTAGGCTTTATCACAGCAATAGAAACACAAACTAAAACACCATCCCACTAAAATTTTTAAACCAACGAACAAGACTAAATACAGTCTTGTTATGCTTCAGAATTCCTACTATATGCTTATTATAAATGAGCCAACATTTCATTTTAAAAAAAAGTTGGTCTCTCTCTAGGAAGTAAGAGAATAGGAAAATCTGGCACACTCACTATATCAACATAACTGGGAACATGAATTCTTTCTATGGCTAATCACGGAATAACCTTCTGTAATTAGAATGAACTGTGACAGAAATACTCACAGTTTTGTCTTCACTGAGCTTTTGACCCAGTATATCATTTAGTTGTGTTTCCTATACAGTCCAGAGATGCTGAGGACACCACCATGAATTAAACTGGTAGGCATCAGCTTGCCCTAGAGAGGTTACAACTTCAGCTGGCAGAGGCAAACAAGGAACAGAGACACGTTTACATGTCAGTCACTGATGACCAGTCCCAGGAAAGTGAGCAATGAAAAGTGTTTGTTTTTTTTTTAAAGTGACAATGCAGGTGGGCATGAGAGATGTGGCCAGTAGATTCATTTCAAGTGGCAGTTTTCCAGTTAATTACAACAGCTGAACCCATTTTCTGATGTTTGGCTGATGAAATCCTTTGGCTCCCAACTCTTTCATTTTCCTTCTTGCAGTAAATCTGGGCAGATGGTAAGAAAACATGGCGGGTTGTTTCTTTTAACTGCAGGGGAAAGGTTGAACCTTGGAGGTCGATGCCCCAGCAGGGAACCCTAACCTTGCCTAACCACAATAAAAATCAAAGCCATTTGCCTGTCCTTTTTCACAAATCCGCCTGTGTTCCTTTCCCCGGAACTACTTCAGATGGGTACCATACCTCTCACCCCATCACAGATGGGGTCCAAATCTAGACCAAATTTTGGGTGTGTGTGTGTGGGGGGAGAGAGGTTGATTCCTTCTTCCACTAGGGAAAAAAATAAAACAGCTACTTGAAATGTGTACCTAACCATAAAAATTCATATCATTTATATAAATGATTTGATAAGTGTACACAGAGTAAGTCAGTATTTAATAGTATCTAGTGAGTCGTTTTTAGTAGTAGCCAATATATATAATATTTCTAGATGCTTCCCTCTAATTCTGTGACTGTTAGTACAAAAGCATCCAATGTCCAGCAATTGTGCACAGCGGCTAAAGTCTCTAGTGATGGAGATGTGCTGCAGTTTCACCGAAAGCTCCTTCTTGTTGTCCAAGCCCTAGTTACATTGCTTTTCAGCTGCTTGCCTTTTGCTAATTAAAGAAGAAGAAGGGATAAGGGGTTTTCAGATATCTGTTGCTTAGCCACAAGGGATTCCTGTGGCAGGGTCCTGTGCTGTTCCCTTTGGAGGAGGGGGCGAGTAGGAACAGAGTCGAGGACACAGACTCTGGGAGGGTGTTGAAACAACAAGCTCAGTTTACTTAGGAAGAGGCAAGCCTTATATACCCCCCACCCCACCAGGGTTGGGGTGGGGGAGTGGGGGAATAGGGGGTATGGAGGATTGGATGTGGGGGGAAGGTCTGATGAGTATGCATCTGCTGGTGTGACATGGCTTCCTCATACTGGTCCAGGTTATCTCAGATCCTGTCTCAGCTGCTGTTGCTGAGACCCTTAGGCAGACCCAGGTTGGCTCTCTGGAGGAATCTTATTACCAAGTTGGCTCTCATTACTGGTTTGGGCTGGCTGGCTCTCAGGCCTATTAGGGCTGAGTCATTCCATAGCTTCTCTCTTAGGAAACAGGGTGGGAAGAACGAAAAGAGAGGAAATGATTGATGAATTGCTCAGCTGCCACCTCTGTTATAGCAAAAAAAACCTCCCTTGAATATCGATATTTCTAGACTGATCTCTTCAAAATACAGGGAAACAAATTGATCTCATTAAAAAAGGGGTTAATACCTGCTTGTGAGAAATATTGTTTCCTTGTCACCTGGGGGGCAATTTTGAGTTATTTTAAATAGCACATAAGGCCAATAGCATTATATAAGGTAAAGTTAGAAATTTTAGTATGATGTATTATTCATCTCAATGTCTAAAATCTTCCATGTCCAAATTGACTTATTATTGGTAATTATTTTTTCATGTTTTGTTTTATTATTTATTAATATATATATATATATGCACACACACACACACACACACACACACACACACACACACACACACATATATGTATATGCACAAGTGTGAAGGTGCCCATGGAGGCCAGAAGAGAGCATGAGATCCTCTGTAGCTGAAATTATATGCAATTGTGAAGTGCCCAATATGGTGCTAAGAACTGAATTTTGTGTTCTTTGAAAGAAGAGGAAGTGTTCTTAACTGATGAACATTTTCTCCCATCCCTTAAGAGATAGTTTGAGTGTTACAACACAAATCTATGTTTTTTTGACTCCTCATAGGAGGCCTTTCCCTTTTGGAGGAGGTGATGGGGGGGGTTGGGGGAAAGGCTGGAGGGGGGAGTGGGTGGATAGATGAGAGGGGATCTGTGGTTGGTATGAAAAATGAATAAAAAATTTCTCAAATAAAATATTAAAATAAAAAAAGTTCATTAACCAAGCAGGGACTGTGAATGCCTTTAATTCCTGTACTTGGGAGGCAGAGGCAGGCAAATTTCTTTGAGTTCAAGGCCGGCCTGGTCTATGGAGCTAGTTCCAGGACAGCCAGGCGAACACAGAGAAAACCTGTCTCAAAAAACCAAAACCAAAACCAAAACCAAAACCAAAGTTTATTGAATATCCTTCTTCTGATATTTGTACATATTTATTGATATTGCTTAACAAGAAATATTATAAATGTAAAATGTTGAATGCCTGTAATTTAAAATTTGGAAATGTAAAGGTGCTATTTTAAAATAAATATCCCTTTCATGCATTAAATTGCAATCACTTATGATACATTGGTTGAACTTTGTTTTTTCAGAAGGTGTGGCTTTGCTGGAGTTGATGTGGTTTTGTTGGTGGAAGTGTGTCACTGTGGAGGTGGGCTTTGAGGGCTCATATATGCTTAAGCCACACCCAGTGAGACAGTTCACTTCCTGTTGCTTGCAAGATGTCAGACTCTCAGCTACTTTTCCAGCACCATGTCTTCCTGCAGCTGTGTTGCCCACCATGATGATAATGGACTAAACCTCTGAAAATGTAAGCTCCTCCCCCATTAAATGTTTACCTTTATAAGAGTTGCTGTCGTGGCCTTGATACAGGGGGAGGGGATTGGACCTGCCTCAATTGAATGTACCAGGCTTTGCTGACTCCCCATTGGAGGCCTTACCTTTTTGGAGAAGTGAATGGGTGTTGGTCAGTGTGGGGGGAAAGATGGGGAGGGTAGGAGGAGGGGTGAGAGGGTGATTTATGGTTTTGTATGTGAAATGAATAAAATACTTCTTAATAAGAAAAAGTTGCTATGGTCATGGTGTCTCTTCACAGCAATAGAACCCTAACTAAGACAGCATCCATTGTATTGGAGAACTTAAGACACCTTAACATATTTAAAATACCTAGAAAACAGAAATTATAATTTATTCCTTTTTAATTCATAATGAACTCATCACTAATTTAACAGCAACTCTCTGTTGTATTTTGTTTTCTTTGAAATAAGGCATAAACTTCACCTTACATCTTTAATGAGGTATTGTATATAACTATGGTGGTTTGAATGACAATTGCTCTCACTGGCTCATATATTTGAGTGCTTGGTCCCCAGGTGATGGAACTGTTTGGGAAGGATAAGGAGGTGTGGCCTTGTTGGAGGTGATATGTCACTAGGATCAGATTTTGAGGTCTCAAAAGACTCTTGCCTTCCCAATCTCTCTCTCTGCCTCATGCATATAGATCGAGGTGAGCTCTCAACTACTGCTCTAGCACTGTGACTTCCTTCCTGTTGCCAGGCCCCCATGCCGTGCTGGTCACCAATGTTAACCTTTTGAAACTGCAAGCTTTAATAGACTCTTTTTTCTATAAGTTGCCTTGATTGTGGCATCTTATCACAGCAATAGAAAAGGAAAAGTAACTGAGACAGTGAGATTTAGCTTTTTAATGTATTTTATATAATAATTAAAGCTAGTTATAATTATTGCTGTATATTAATAATAACAAGTGATTTAAATATTTAGCTATATATATATATATAAAACATACTCATTAATAGTAACAAGTGGTTTAAATACTTACTTAGCCATATATAACATACTCATTCTTATCTACAAATTATTTTAGTTTAAGTAGTTGCAGCTTTTGATTTGAGATAACAGATTTTTTTTTAGCACAAACGCAAATGTTTATATGTACATATTTTGCTATCCTCCTGTGGATTTCCCTTAACCAGTTGCAATGACTGAAATTGTGATTAACATTACCTTTTCTGCTTCTGTGTGTAGAGATGGCTGGAACATTTTCAGGAACATTATTCTCACTCACAGTTTTCAGTTCCTCTGCTGGCAGTAAAACTCCTGAAGTTCAGAGAACAGAGGCATTATCCAGACTTCTAGAACTACTTTATGACCCTTTGTGTTATTGCTCAGCTCCTGTCAACTAAAATATAGAGAGGTCACATTTTAAGTGAAAGATATCATTCCTCAAAACTCCACAAAATTTAGGACTAATTTCCTGTAGATATTTATGTTTTAACATGAGCTGGTTTAGTTTAAGTGAGAAACAAGTGGTAAAAGGTATGCTTTTATTATTTCGGCATAATGGAGATATATGTATGTAAATAACACACTCTTTTGCAGAGATGCCTAACCTATGGAATCTCTTGCTTCATAAGATTTCCATACAACTGTAGCAGACGAGCACTGTATGAAACAATTTGCATTTAAACGTGATAATCAGGAAAAAAAGAGTTTTTTAAAATAGAAAGCTCAGATCAAGAATAAATTGTACATGTAAATGTGCTGATTTGCATGCAGAGAATGGATTCTAACAGTGGGGCAACTGAGGAAATTAAGGCTAACGCTTCTCCTGAGTGCCCAGTAATGTTGAATTACAATTGAATACCTATAGAAATAAGTGTGACATCCAAATGGATACTAAATGAATATATTATGCTCTGTGATGTTTCACTGAATTCTAAATGAGTTCAGAAGGATGGAATACCAAGAGGTGCTGAAGTACTTCAGACACACTCAGTCAGATGCATGCGGTTAAATAAAACTCCGTGGAATGTTCCTTACATAAAATGAGTTTTTCCTATTCAGAAGGAAAGTAGAGCAATTTATTTTTTCCCTCAGACAGTCTCATCACAAGTAGGAGTTTACTTTAATAAACTTGGTTTGGTTTTTAGGGAAACTCTTGCAATTTGAAAGATACTTTGTAATTCTTTTGAGCCCTAATGTACTAGACTTGCAATCTTGATTTTATTGTGCCCCTTAGCATTAAGTAAGCAGTATTATCTGTTTAATCTGAAAAGCTCTAGTGACCTGCATAAGAAGAGGAAAAGCAAGAAAAACACCCATGCCATTGATCGACCTTGAGAACCTAGAGAACTCCGGTGCTGTGGTTACTCAAATGCTCTGATTAGTATTATTGCTTTTAAAACTATACTTATAAGAGAATTGGCTTCTAAGTTTTTGTTCCTTCTTAAAAAGTTTACTTTGAAAAGTGTACTTCTTCCACGGTGGAGTGTTGAGACACAATGTCATGACATGCTAGGTTCCACGGTGCATTGTCTCATGAGGCTTTAGCAAACTGGGACAGTGTATCCACCATGTTATGCAACCATGCAACTTTACTTCATTTAGAATGGGTGTTGTAGCCATTATGCTAGCATTGATAGTAAAACCTCAGAATATCAGTGTGTGGAGCAGCAACAGAACTGTCTTATGTCCTTTGGTCATACCTGCTCACATCCTTCACTACAATTCTGAGGCATTCATGCAGTATGAGAGATGGCAGTCTTCAAAAATCACCAGTTAACAGATGAAAATTGCATCAACATGGTACACGTGATTTTACTCCGATGTTATTTGCAGCAACATGGAATGGGCATAAACCTAATATGGATATTTAGAACTACTGTAAAAGCAAATGCTGGATTAGAGGAGGGAGCTCAGAGTGGAGGTGGAGGAACACAGGTTGTGTTTGCTGACCTTAAAGAAAAACAACTTTCTCCCAATCTCTGTAACAGGAAATAGTTTTACACTTTGGACCAAAGTGCTTGCCCACTGAGGTTACATTTCTATCTCCCCTTGTAGAATAACAGTTAAGGATGCTCTCTTCCTTGATGAACACATTTCAGAAAGATGACTCCTGGGTCCTTGAGAATGACTTTTCTGGGTCATAAACCCTATTAGAAGCTTAAAAAAAACTGATCAAAGAGGCAAAGAAAATCTTTACAACTAATGTTCTCAAGTAAATGCTCTAAGTAAAGGTGGGTCAGAGACCTAGGGTCTAGGGTCAAGTAAAGCTGAAATCAGTGTCAAGGCTTTCTGGGTCACCACCCTTAAAACTGATTTCCCTTAGGATCAAGCTATAACCCAGGGACACTTTATAATGAGAAGTTCATCTTGAACCGACTCACTAATAATTTACTCGCATGTCCCCCATTTTTCTAGCTTGACACATGATGAGTTTGGCTAGCTCAAAAGCCAACTTCAGGGTGGTTTCTTTTTTCACTTTTGTCTTTGAAGTATCAGAGTGCTAAGTCTGTGGCTGTCCCTGAAGTATTGTCCACGTTCACTTGCACTGGGAAAGCAGATTCCTAAAGCCCTGGGTTGTCATTCGGTGGGTGCTTGCGTGATACTAGGATTCTTTTGAAAGTCCTGTTATTTGATGCTTAACTAATAGCACGGTAGGAATAAAAATCATCAGTAGGTGGTTCTGTGTATAAACTATGTCTTGGATCAAAAGGTTAGGATTATTTGTTTACTAACAAAAATACTGCTTCTAGTGAAGCCCATGTTTAAGTACACTTCTTAATTCTTTAGTCTGTTGATTTTGTAACTTTGTTATTATTAACTGGACTTTAATATTCCCAATATTTCAAACTTCTCAAATAACATTAGTCTACTGTAACATAAGTACCTGAATATGTATTTACTAATACCAACTTACCTTAGTATTGGCTATGGTTGCTTTGTATCTTGTATGGAGGAGAAGAGGCAAAAAATAATTGCCATCTTTTAAACTTAGTTTTTCCTCTAGATTTACCTTATTTATTTATTAAAATGTTGAGGATCAAATCTACAGCTTAATGAGTGACAATGAAGTTCTCTACCACTGATTCTACATCCCCAGCCCCATTTTTAATTTTTTCATGGAAAGACAAAATTATATATATTATCTACAACAAGATAATTTTAAGTATATATAGAGGAATTAATAAACATATTTAACAGGTGCACTATTACAATGATCACTTTTGTGGTGAGGAATACTTGGCATTACCCTTTTTGTGTTTTTGAAGAATATGGTAGGTAGACATTAACTCTAGTCAATGTGGAACTATTGGTTCTACTATACTGTAGAATTCCTGTTTCATTGTTTTAGGAAAATCTAATTACTTGGGTCAAATAAATGAATGCTTAATAGCATTTACAGTAATTTATAATAACCATCTGAACTATCTCAAGCATAAATGTGCTATAATGCTAGCATTTTAATATTAGTTGGGGGACATTATTGTCTTTATATAAATTATAACTGTTTTATGAAGACATTTATCTTTTAGATGGCTGCTAAATCTTCTCTTTATGTTTATGACCATTCTTTTATTTTATATGGCAATATAATTTAATTATAAGATGCAATATTACATATCTAATATTAACTGAATAACTGACTTGACGTCAATAGCTTTTGTGTTGTTCATTTGGACAGTTCTCTTTAGGAACAAACATTGTTTTATATTAATATCTTTCCTCAATAGCAGTTATAGCCAAGGTTGGAAACATGGGCTTGATAAAACACACATAAAGGAAATGAAAAATTTCTTCTGTATACTAGGTTTGGTGTTAAAATAATAGCATCCTTAAGTTATGGCAACTCTGAAGGACAACTTTTTTTGACAATAATAGTATGTTATTTCATATATTGAATTCCAATTCATGGGAATTATGAAGTAAATATATAACCATTTTGTATATTTCAAAATTGAGTGTCACGACATGGCAAAGAGAAACAGAAGCTATTACAAACTGCTCAGTGTCTGGAAAGCTTTAGTCACTATGGAGGTTTAATCTGACTGTAGCCTGATTTCTTATCATCAGAAGTGGCTTTATTCATTGTGGCTTCTTTATAAAATAAGGTTGTTACTTTACATGAAATTCTCCTTCTCTAGGAGAAGAATATAGGAATGTGGTGATGCTAAAGTTGAAAACAAAGTCAGGGCTATTTACAGAAGCCTGTAACTTCTCAAATGTGTCTTCCTGGATGCCTGGCTATTCAGTTCTTCTACATATTTACTCTTCATATATCAGCTATGAATTAATCACATTGGTTTACAAATTGGAATGTAGGGCATCCCTCTACTTCTCTTTACTTACTTTCCATATTCTAGAAATAGTCTGAGGACTTTGGGTCTATGGGAGTTTTTAAATGTGCACATGCATGTTCACTCAGTGTGTGTGTGTGTGTGTGTGTGTGTGTGTGTGTGTTATTTTATGTGAAGGTGCAGGTGCTTGTGGAAGCCAGAAGTCAACATCTGAATATCTTCCTCGATCTCTTCTCCTTATTTTTTGAGGAAAAGTTTATCTCTGAACTTGCTGCTCACTGTTTTGACGATGCCGACAGTCCAGTAACCCCCCCCCCCCCCCCGGGATCAACCTGTCATGGCCTTCTCAGTGCTGGCATGCTCCACCATTTCTAATATTTGACACGAGTGCTGGTGATTGAATTTAGGTCTTCATGCTTTCGCAGCAAGTACTTTACCTAACAGGGCCTTGTCTACAGCCTTAGGTTTGATTCCTGGAACTAATGAGTGGTGGCTCACAGCAGCCTGCAACTCCATCTTCCAGGTTGCCTTCCACCCTCTTTCTGCCTCCTGTAGGTACCGGTGCTTACATGCACATACACACAGATTACACACACACACACACACACACACACACACACACACACACAATGTATATAATTGAAATAATTATACAAATATCTAAAAAATTTAATCACATTCTGAATTACTTGAATGATTATATGGTCACTCAATGCTATTAGGCTGCTTCAGAGCAACATTCATTTTGTTTCTGTAATTTTTTTTATCTATTTATTTTTATCTAGTTAGCTTCAACTGTCACCTTGACATAGCCCACAGTTATCTGAAGGACTCTTATTTGGTGCATTGCCTCTATCAGATTGGACACTGGGCATATCTGTAGAGCATTTTCTTTATTACTAGTTGATGTAGAAGGTCCTAGCTTCTGTGGCAGTGATATCTCTAAGCAGAGTCCAGGGCTGTAAATGCAAGCTGGCTGAACCCTCACCAGAGGGAACAAACCTGTAAATGATTTTCCTT